GACGTTGCTCAGGCCGAGAGAAGCCCCCTGTGCCCCGCAGATCAGGCCTTGTCCCCCTCAGTGATCTAGGGGTCACGGGGCCATAGGGTGACCCCTCCTGTGACCTCCACCCTCACCAAGCCTAAGAGGGTGTGCCAAGTGCCAGGAAGCAGTGACACGTGTCTTACACCTGTGGCTCCCCTGACAGGCACATGCACGCTAGCATCAGAGCTCACGTGTGTGTGTGTGTGTGAGTGTGTGTGTGAGTGAGCGTGTGTGTAAGCGTGTGTGTGTGGGTGGGTGTGTGTATGAGTGTGTGAGTGTGTGTAAGTGTGTGTGTGAGTGTGTGAGTGTGTGAGTGGGTATATGAGTATGTGAGTGTGTGAGTGTGTATGAGTATGTGAGTGTGTGTGTGTGAGCAGGTGAGTGTGAGTGTGAGTGTGTGTGAATGTTAGTGTGTATGAGTGTGTGTGTGTGTGAGTGTGTGTATGAGTGAGTGTGTGTGTGAGTGTGTGTGTAAGTGTGTGTGAGTGTGCACGCACGCACTCCCAGGGAGCCGGATCGGCAGAAAGGGCAGGGAGTGCCCAGTTCCGGTCACACTCTCCATGAGGCAGGAAGCTCATACACGTCCCTGCTGGGGTCCTGCCCCCGACCCTGGCCCTGAAGAGGCCTTGGGGGGGGGGCTTGTTGAGAGGGGGCTGTTCCCTCCCGTAGGCAGGGTCAAGGGCCCGAGACTAGAGGGGAGACCAGACCCTCCTGGGGACCCCCCTGCTCTGCCCTGGGTGTCAGGCCCAGGGAGGGGAGGGTACCCACCAGGTGGGACACATCTCTGGTGGCCAGAGGGAGCCTGGGGCAGGGCAGAGGGTCTGGGCGGGGGCGAGGGAGGACCTGCCACTGTCCGCACACCTGCCGCCCCCTCCGGGTGAGACTGTCGCCCACGCCTGCAGGGCACATGCTGCCCCTGGTCACAGCACCTCTGACTCCCCGGGCCCAGCTCCCTCAGAAACCGTCCTTCCCGCCGCCTGCCGCTGTGAGGCTGGCCTCCGGGTGTCTGGCCTGGGGTGGGGGCCGTGTCAGGACGCCAGGCCTGGGGGCAACGGGGCCCAAAGGCAGGACGTCCGGTGGCATCTCACCTGCACCCCCCAAGCACATCTCCTGGGGCGTTGGCGTCGGCATTGGCTGCTGGTGCTCACCTGCACCAGGTCATCTCTGCCCCCTCGCCCAAACCCTGCTACACCCACCCACTTCCCTAAAGGTGCTGCGCCAACACGTCTGGCCGTCACCAAGGAAGTTTAGGTAAAAGCAGGCTTTCGAGGGCGCTGAGCTTCCGACTGCGGGGCTCCCATGGGCCCCTCAGAGGGGCTTCCGGACACCTCGGCATGATCGTAACGGACGGGCCCTGCTCTCTGGGCACTGCCTTCCTGGAGGGTGCAGATGGGAGGGTCCCACCACCTGACCAGTGGCCTGTCCACCCTGCACCCGCCCACAGCTGCTCCTCCGCTGCAGCCCCTCCCCCGCCTGGGCCTCACACCAGCAGCGCCGCGCTCCCCTGAACGTTAGTGACTCAGGGAAGAGAATGTGGACCCGTCAGCAGGTGCGTCACCGGAGCTTATGGGAGTTTTTATTTTCATTTTGTTTTTTCTATTGACACAAAATAAAATTTTAAAAAACCAGTTCTTTTTTATTGATTCATTTGAGAGAGGAAGGGAGAGGGAGAGAAACATCCACGATGAGAGAATCGTGGATCGCTGCCTCCTGCACGCCCCCCACTGGGGATGGAGCCCACATCCCGAGCACGTGTCCCGAACGGGAATCGAACCCTGACCTCCGGGTTCGTAGGTTGACGCTGAAGCAGGAGCCATGCCAGCCGGCAAAACAGTGACCTTGAGTAAGTCAGGAGCTCCTGGGAGGAGGCCACACAGCCCCCCCTTTTCCTGCTCCTGGTTCGAGGCTCACAGCTGCTCCACAGGCCCAGCCCCTCGGGCTTCCACTGCAGGGCCGAGGGTGTCTGAGCACAGGGTGGGCCAGTGGGGAGGGTCCCCTGCCACCCCCACCCTCCCGGCTCCCCCCAGGCCCTCTCCTCAGACAGCTCCTGCCCCCCCTGTGCTCAGACACAGAAATGGCTGACCACGCGCACACGCACACACCAGGGCCGTGTGCGGGCTGCTGCCTGCAAGGCCACCAGCTCATCACCAGTGTGCACACACTCACTGCAGGGGTCTCCTCGCCAAAGGGCCCCACCCCAGGGCAGGGCCCCCTCTGCCTGAGGCTCTGAGGCCGTAAGGGCGCCCGAGGCCTAAGAAA